ATTCTGGGAGTTGAAGTCCACTCATCTTAAAGTGGCCAAGTTTGGACAACATTGCGCTGAAGTCTTCAACTGATTGCTGCAGAAGATTTTTTTAAGTGCTTCATGGAATGAAGCCATAGGCCTTTTATTCTGCTCTAGAAATTCAGTTCTGTTGCAAATACCAATAAAGCACTAAGGCTTAGTTTTGGCTGCCAACCCTTACATCTAGTGCTGTCAATTTTCCTTTCCAACAATATTATAAGGCTCCTATCTCAGACTGATTGATGTTCTGAAAAGAACTTCCCTGTTAGAGAAAAAGGCTAGACTGCTAATAACAAGGAATTTAGCTGTAATCGTTGTTCCTCAATTAATGGATGCTCGTTCAGGTTGGAAGATGACTGTTAACTCACAAAAAGTTACAGTATTAGTTTGTAAGACTTAAAACTAGAAAGAAACACTCAGTATGGCAACATTTTGTTGCAATCCCTCTTGGGTCTGCTCCACTTTTGAAATTGGCTAAATTCTGAAGCAAGTAAGGGCAATTTTAAAAAGCACTCTTTTTTTTTTTTTAGGTGAATCTGTTCATCTTCATTTTATTCAGTTCCTCATTTTTCCCAGTTGTATATTCAATTCATATCAGTTCATATTTTTAAAAAAAAACAGCACAAAAATTCATATACATTTTCAGTTGTGATTTTTCAAACGTACAAAGAGAGATATGGTACTTGAATGCATTGCAAGCTTTGTAAGAATCGTATCATTTTTATTATAACAGAAGGAGACAGTAATTAATGTCTGATTGAAGACTGTATTTTTTAAAAAAAATTAAAGGTGCATGAGATTAATACAATGTAACTCTTGTTAAGGACATGCCTACCAATTATTCAAGTTGGTCCCAGAGAAATGTGCCTCTTCACCCAGAAAAAGTTGCACACCCCTAAAGTTTAGGATTGAAAGGTGTCAACAGAATGTAATTCAGTTCTACTCTTGAGTAGCAAAGCAGGAAGCTTTGAGTAGCAAAGCATTTTAAATTCACCATTTAAGAAACTCAATTTTGATTTAAAAAAATGTTCTTACCCAAAACTTGCTGAAGATATACAACATTGCTTAGACCAGAATTACTGAACTGGTTTTTGAGGTCCTTGAACTGATATATGCAGGAAATTGTCGCTGTGTTCTTTTGTGATATTTTGTAACAAAAGTTATAGGCAAATGTATTCTTCTTTTGGGGATAACTTTCTATCTTTTTCCCATCTTTACAAAAAATAACCCGTGTAAAATTCAAGAGTGGAGGTATTTTACATCTAAGGCACATTGTATCTCTTTCACCTCTTGATGAATTATTCTGGTATATATGAGGTGAGGGAAGATTACCTGTGGATTGAAGAAACAAAGTTACATGGACACTTTTACTGATTGTGTAGGTTTTGATTAGAGTGGGAAAGTTGGATGACTAGGATCTAGACTCTAGCAGCCCTAAGAACTACTTTAACTGTTTTTTAGGAGAGGGCAATTCCTTCTTGTATTTCATACATTTCTAAAAGATACACTGATTTCACAAATCAGCATATATATCTATATCTAACCCAGCCCTCAGAAGATGAAAATATGTTATCACCTTCCCTTCTGTCTATAAACATAGCAAGCTGGAACTGATAGTTTTTCCAAATGTCCTGTATATCAGATAGAATGAACATATTTCAATGTCTCTCACGTTTCTGCCTAAGTGATAGGCAACTTTTTTTATTCAAGAGAAGAATCTTGGCTGTCGTCTTAATATTCAAAAATATTCAACATATTCTATTCCAACTCTGCTTCTAATGTCAATGGGCAGATTCAGTTTCTACCCATCTGGAGATCTATGAACTGCTGTTTAGAAGAATGTCTCTGTAAAATGAGTCATCTTTATAGTTCAGGAGCTACCTGGAAGCATCACTTGAATCTTTGTACATTTTAAACTGCCCATATCCTAACTTTCAGCTAACATTGCAGCCTGAGTAGCATTTACAGATTCACCTTTCCTCTATTAAGAGGATGTTAATCATGAAACATGATGTATGGAAATGGCAATTAAGTGGAGAAGGCATAGACATTTATGGGAAAGAGCAAGATTTCCTACAATATGGACATATAATAAAAGCAAAACTTACCTGGAGAACTACAGGGCTCTTGTCTTGTTAGCGGTATGCCTTTAAAATTAAGAGATGCTAACAGGTGAGATATACTATTTTTGTTCCATTTGAAAATCAGCAGTATTAGTCATGCCATTCTTGAGAATATTTAAGGTTATGGTATAATTAAATATTTTAATTATTTTGTACTCCATAATCCTATGAATGGTGAAATACTATAGCTTGATAGAAAAAGATATAGACATATCCTCAGAATAAATTTCTGTTTTTATTATTAAAGGTTAAATGTAATGTTAATAATAATGAATATATTCACTTTTATAATAACAGGATTAATTATAGTAAAAAAAGAATTTATGATCTAGTGATATAAGTGGAATAAAATCATTTTCCCTTTAAATTATGGTGATTATGAAGTTGTGCAGAAATTATTCTGGTGATTAATTTTAACTGTGATTTTTAAGATTCATTGAAAAATGCTTTCTTGAGATTATTGACAGCCTATAACAGCATTAATAATTAAAAACAATTCTTAGATAATTGAAAAAATAATTGAAAAAGAAGTATTCATTTGTCACAATCAATTCAGCTGCAAATAACTATTTTAAGTCAGTTGTAATTTATTTATTTAACTATTTCCATCTGAACTTTAGCTTTTGATGTATCCGTGATGGGTAATAATAGTTAGAGAAGTCAAATTTTAAATAGCAAGGATACATTTTTAAACATGGCATTATTTAAAATGTACCCCCACATTTCACCATTTTTCATTCGCAATTAATTAAATTGCCTACAATTTCAAATCATAATATAACGCATACATGATTCATTAAAAAAAAGAACTATAGATATTACTTTTTATTTTCAATTCTAGCTTTATTATCTTTTCTTCCTGCACTTAAAAAGAACAGTTCATAAATTATTCTGAAAAAGGAAGATTTCACAGTATAATCCAGTTATAAAAAATCAAGGCATAAGAAATATCAATCAGGGAAAAGTGCTTCCATGCCTCCAGCAAATATTTTATTCAAAATCCCTTCAACATACCAATCATGATCAAGTTTGAGTTTGTCATTCTTTTAAAATCATCAGAGCCAAGTTGTTACATAATTTATATCATAAATAAATGCATAAACCAAAACATTATGGCATAAAAAATGGCACTGAACTGTTCACTAAGACTGATGCTTAAAAATAGGCTGCATGAGGCAGAATTGTACACATATGTAGGTACACACTGCTGGCTGTCATATTAAGCATCTCCAATGAAACATCAGCTTTTGACATGTTTCCTGAACAGATCACTCACTTAATTGTCGTTTTATAGCAAAATCCCTTGAAAACAGAAGAGAGCTGTGCTGTAATCCTAAATCCACTTAAGTTAGAGCAAACTCCACTGAGTAGGCCTGTCTATGTATTGGTGACAAGGCAAAGGAACAATACAACGCACACACAAAAAATCTTTCTCGATTGCATCAGGAGTTGTTTGCTCAATAGAGAAAAAAAAAATCAAGTTGTTCATTTCCTTGGTTTTCTTCTCTATTTTGTACTGCCCAGGGTTATGCCATAGTTTGTGGGTCATAGATGGGGAAGAAATCATAATGCAAAGCATAGAAAATATTTGGAAGGTGAATAAACACATCAAAGTTTAAAAAGAAAGTCTCCCCCATAGAAGAACGTGTGATGTAGCTGCTCCTCTTTTTTGGTCATATATATGGATTTTACAGCAGGACCCAAGAGTTAATTTACTGGATGAAAACACTTATTCGTGCATATTGTAAACTGCCCAATCTTTAGAATGATACATTATTCATTTTTATTATACTCACAGAAAAGACAGAGACCCAGCAACTGCATCATTGCAAATGTAGGCGTTGGCATTCTGCCTGCAAACTGGTAATGTTTCTTCTATTTCACTTAAATATCATCTGCCTTTGATGTTTAGTTCCCACTTCCTTATCTGCATGTGCATACAAAACAGAGCACTATTCTCACTTCACTTAATAAGAAAAAAAATGTTTTTATATATCCCAGTATCACAAATTATGTATATAACCACTTTATTCCTTAAATCTCTATGACTTCCCCTTGAAATGCTACTCAGTGGTTTGTCATGATTAACTCTTTTTTTTTTTTTTTGTACAGCAGCTTTTGATAATCATTTGAAAACTCCAGATGAGGAACTGAGATTATTTGCCTGAAATGAATATTCTAAATCATATAGAAACGAGAACACATGTTCTGCATTTGGCACAATATTGAAGGTTACCATACAAATGAACAGGTACAACATCTAATGCCAGTATTAAATGAAAACTCTGAGAAGCTACGAAGAACCTAGAGGTATGAACGTTTACTAAATCCCATTCCCCACCTTTGTATTCTGCTTCATTTATTTTGCACCTTTGAAACATCTGCATTTTAGATGTCACATAACTCCCAGTTCTCATGTCTTTATTTGCATGCGAGTTTGGAACAAAGCTCTATCTACATCACATTTAATAAGAGAATAAATTCTTCTATACTTCTGCATTCCAAAACGGTCATACCTCCATGACTTTAAAGTCTACACCATCTCTCTGTTCCCGATGTTTGCTTATGTGCAATATGCAAAATGTACCTAAAGAATATTTACCTAGAGAAAATGCACCTAGGGAGATAATTTTCTCAGCTGCTGTATATATTTATTTTTGTATTGTTTTAATTGTTTTAGAACTGTTTGCTGCCCAGAGTTACCTGGTTGAGATGGGCGGCTATAGAAATTAAATAAATAAAATTAATAAAAATTAAAAAGATAGTTACCATACAAGGTTTGCATCAATTGCTTGCATTTCAAAAAAAAAATCAGCCAAAAACTCTAGAACCAGAAGTCCCCCATTCCTAATGTAAAAGATGCACTTTATCAAGAACAGGATTTAGAAAGATTTTTGCTAAGAGGAAATAACTAATAACCTTACCATTGCTGAAAAAAGTGAATCCACAGTATCAATATTATTTATCTAGAGAGCTAGTCTATCAAGAATGGAAAATCCTGCTCTGCACCTGTCCCCAGTATTTGTCATGCAAACCATGTCCAGAAACCCATGTGACACCAGGTCCTGGACTATAGCATCAATTTTTTTTCTCAAACTCACAGCTGTCCAAAATAATGTCCAACTCAAGACACAAAATAAGCACAAAAACGTGTACTGCCTTTTTAAAATAAATTTATCAAATAAAGCAGAAATTCCTTGAGATAATGTTGAAATAATAACAGGGCAAAATTAAAACTGACAGATTTGATTAATAATGCATTGTACCAAATCAACTGGATTCTGATGACTTCTCATGTTGTTTGTAATAAAACAAATTCTTTCCCCCCTCATCCAGTATTTTTTCACATCACTGCCTACTGAGCTGATTTCTTTTTTGTGATTACCTCTAGTTTTAAGCAAAGAGATGCAATAAACCTTTGATTTAAGGACCTCAGTTTAACAAATTTCAGATTTAATAGATCAAATCTGCTGAATATGAATTTTGTCCAACTTCCACCAATCAATGGACAAAATTCTACCAACCAATCAACACCAACCAATGAATGTTAGGGGAAAGGGGAAAAATCTGGCAAACATTCAAGGTTACATTCTTAATTGAATAAGAAAGCATATTTGCAATTATACCGATCGGTCACTCATGCTCTGGTCATCTCTCAATTAGACTACTGCAATGCACTCTACATGGAGCTACCCTTGAAGAGTATCCAGAAGCTACAGCTGGTTCAAAATGTGGTCATGCGAACCATCTTGGTGACCCTAGGGTGGCATGTATAATACCTTTGCTGCGGGAGCTGCATTGGATGCCAGTTTGCTCCCAGGTCCAATTCAAGGTGTCGGTTATCACCTTTAAAGTCCTACATGGCAGGGGTCTAGGTTATCTAAGGGACCATCTCACCCCTTACAACAACCTGTCCCACCCAGTCAGGCAGAGAGGGCATGTTGCAGACCCCATCAGTGAGAGAATGTTGGCTGGCAGGGCCCAAGAGGAGAGCCTTCTTTGCCATTGCCCCTGCCCTTTGGAATAGTTGCCCCCTAGAGGTGATCTTTGGAAAAGACCCTGATGCTGGGAAAGATTGAAAGCAAAAGGAGAAGAGGACGGCAGAGGATGAGATGGTTAGATAGCATC